TTATGTCTCAGCACCACTAACCTCTATCCAAAGGAAGTGAGGGATGACGTCAGGTGCACAAGGTGCTGGCTGACTCTCCTCTGACACTGCCAGAGGGCCGGTCTCTACTTTAGCCTCCGAAAACAAACCCATTTTCAGCTCTACTGTCATCTGCCAAGCTCCTGCCATCTCACGCATGAACTAGGCAGACGGAGAAGAGAAGACAATGTATCTCAAACCAGCACAGATATTCATTTGACAAATTATTCATATGATTTTATGATTCGTGTTCAATACACATACTGGCACTTCCACCCCGTTGTGTGCAGCCAGGAGCCATTCCCAGCATGCAATGGCAGTTTCCATGCCATGTTCTGTAAACATCTTCAGAGGAGACCAACACAGATGGTGCAGGAGCTGCGGATCACAGTCTGAAAGACAAAATAGAGAAAAGTATCTTAACCAAATTATAAAGATTTCCTCTAATGCTGAAAATAATCAATATATAAAATGAAATGATGAAGAGCTGCTCACTTTTGGTAGTTATAAGCAAGGCAGCCATCTTGAACATGGTCTGGGTGAAGGCCTCTGGATCTTGTCTGTCCAGAGCACTGGTCACCTGATGGATCACCAGCTTGTTGAGGTCTGACTGGCTGTGAGTCGCCTCTGAGAACTGGATCATACCAGCCACCTAAATAACGCATAAACAGACCAATCAGAATCACTGTATGCAGAGAGTCTAGGAAAGTCATATCATCTTAATATTGGTAACATTAAGACAACCTCTCCTGTGTAGCGGTTGCGCAGGTTTAGTGATGCCATGAAGTTGGAGTAGTCCTTCTTCACACATGCTGGTCTCTCTGTCAGCTGGGTGGTCTAATGAAAAACAATTTTAGGCATCACTTAAGGCCACACACAAGTTAGAAAAGTAAGACACGTAGCTGTACTGAAGCACTTCTGAATATACTGAAGCTATAATGCCTTAGCTCTGTCTCTATATTTAGTGTTCAGACCAACCTGAGGGAAAGCAGCCTATGGTTGGCCACATGGTGGAGGACAGCAACAGCACAACCAGTTAGCCAAATGGGCAACCAGTTAACCAACCCACCCGTCCATTGCAGGTAAGTAACCAGGTAATCAGCAAATCCGTAAACCAGCCAAGCAACCACGTAGGTAGTTCGGTTCAGATTAATAAAGACAAAATACAACAAATGAAGCAAATGAAAAGACAGATATAGCAGAATGCAGGCCAAAGAACACATAAGAAATGCACAGCAAGCAAAATAATGTCTCACACAGACTAGCACGCATGCATACATGGACACAATACTGTAAACAACTAGACTAGATTCACAGTGTTTACAGAGCTATAAAATACATCCAATAAAACACATCAGCACAATGGATACAAGACACTTTTGCTCAGTGCCAAGAAAATCACAAAGATTTTGACAAAGCAGGTATATGGCACAACATTTATGTTAAAAAGCCATTAATGTTGGACAAATGTTAATAAGCATCAACTCAACAAGCCTGTGAGAACAATTTTGGTTTTGATGTTTGAAGTATGTTACAAAAGTGCTGTGTGCTTCTTAATGTCTCAAGAAGTGACAAAGCATTTGTTTCTTGCAGAGGAACACTCTAAGAAATGAATATTTACTAGAAAAGAATCTCTGGTAGGATTGTAAAAACACAGTGTTGTTGTGGTTTTTGGTGATGCAACTCTAAATAATATTTTAAACACTACAGTGCTGTTAAGGTACGAGACTGACATTAGTTCTGGAGTTTTTAAACGCTAAAAAATGTGTCTGGATTAAAGTCATTTTGATGTCATCATTAATCTGGGACATGTCATTTAGTCTAAATTCAGACTCTCTGTAATTTGGGGTAAATCAAACATTTATGAGATTATATCTGTAGTCATCATAAACATGCATGGGTGCCCACATGTGTGTCTTGTGACTCACGCCTAGTGTAGTACTCTGTCTGTTGTAGCCTGCGAAATGCAGTATGCTCTCTGTGGCCATGGCGAGGCCAGTATGCTGGGACAATCCTGAAACCCAGTTCTGATGCTTGTTCATGTATTCCTGCATTACACACAACATTCAGATAGAAATGGGCAGAAAGAGAGAGAGTGTGAAGAGGTTTTGAAAGAAAGATACTTGGTGACTTTTCTTGTACTTTCAGTGCAACCTACGTTTGTTAGAGGAAAATAATAGCTACAATCAAATTTTCCACTTTAATTAATTCTATTTTGGCTCTCTCTTAAACATAAAGGTAAAGAAACAGACCTGTAGGTGGGACTTTGTGACTGAAGGAGCCCATTTCATCGCCTCCTTCAAGATCTCACCGCAACGAGCAGCAAAGTCCTTCACTATGCTCTAATAAAAGATGAGGAAATAAAGATATCACATTATTTATGAAGTACAGGAGGGCTGATGGGCAACAAATTTCAATGAAATATAGCTTTGCACAAAATGCTAAAATTAATCTAGTTCTATTTCAGTAATTTCTATTATAAATATTATAACAAAAGCACATCAAATACAGCCATTTTAATTAGCTTATTTATGTTATATATTACACAGTTTCATTTATGGGTTCAACCATTCACAAAGAGCTCAGACCAAGCAAGATAAATATCACTACTGTGTTATGGTGCTGCCCTCTAGTGGTTCCAAGTGTGATAACAGTACCAGCTCACCTCTCGGGCTTCGTATGTGTCGGGGACAGTGATCCTGTAGGGGGTGTCTGGAATGTCATAGTATGGTTGATCCTTGTGAATGTCCTAATTAAACGGAGAAGAAGTTTGTTTCAAGTGAATTGTAGGGGTGCACCAATTTAAATGCATCCCTGGGGTTTATAACAATCACTTCAAACAAAAATGGTTAAAATTCTGCTTGTGTTCCATCACACAACACTACTGATGTTGACTAAAAGCTGCACCACAAAAGAATATTCCACACAATTTCATCTGAAAATCTTTAGATGTTTCTGTTCATTACAGGGATTCAACCTGGTACTGTGTTGTACTTTGCCTCCTCCTGATACTTACAGCACTTAGTGACAATGAGAGTGTCTGTAAAATATCCAACATGGTCTTCAACACACGACCACTCCAAAGCAGATGGGGGAATCTGGTTGAGGCAGAGGGAAATGAGAAATATGTACAGTATATCAAGCAGACAAGGTAACTGAATGATTCTACTCACGTCTCAGCCAAACCAGACAGATATTTGTCTGCCACTCTGCGGATCCTCTTGTGGGTGTGGTTAAAGTTGACCAACAAAAACTGGGCATGTCGTTCTAACTCTTCCTCATGCTCTTTGGTTTTTGGCTAAAATAAGAGAGCACTTTGATTTATATTCAGTGAAGAACACTATCTATTAAAATGTCCAGAGTTTAGCTATTTTTTTTGGTATTATTCAAAAGTTTGAGAAACCATGCTATCTACCTTGTCAGCCATCATCTGGAGGAAGACATCAAACACCTTATCGCCAACAGAAATAATGCACTGCATCATGCCTGCTCAGATAAAAAAAAAAAAACAAAAACAATGAATTACACAGCTTGATGAAAAGGATAGCCAAAGGTGTATGGACAAACAGCACTCACCAGATTTGTCCTTCTGGATGGCTTTGTCTTCAAAGTAACGGAACATGACCTGGAACCTGTCAGGATCATTGGATCGCAGCATCCTGAAAGAGTGCAGGATGAAAGTGAACATAACAAAGTCACATGAGCTGATCTCATTATATTAAGGAATAATGTCAACAGTAACAAAAAATGACAAATGTAAGCTGGATTTTTAAGTGCAAAGAAGTTGACCTCATGTATTCTAATCTGTAGACTGAGAGCAGATACGTGGACATGGCAAAGTCTAGCTTGTTGATGAGGGCAGATCCTTCAGGAGGGGGGTCGAGGAGATTGCTGATGGTTGACCGCAGCTCACTCAACTCAGCCTGAAGGACAGAAATTGGCGATCTAAAGATTAGTTCTGGCATTTCTGTTATAAGAAGACTTTCAAATACTTTAATGGAGGACAAAATGTCTAGATGTCAAACACTTTACTGGTGTTACGGTGTCATTTTTCAAAGCAGAGTTATATTGCAGTTCAGAGCGAAGAGGTTCTCCACTGGGGAAGGTGAGAAGAGGAGACTTGGTGGCAATTTCACACACACCTTCATACCACTCCTCTGGCCAAAGCCCTGAAAGGACATATCATACATCAAAACGCAAAATAATTCTCCATAATTACTTAGAGGTACATTCACCACTTGTACATAGCCACTGCTTCTAACTCTTCTTGCATTAGCCTGGGTGAAGATGTCTGAGAACAGAGGATCTGTGACCCTCAAATGAAGACAGCGGGCACCTTGATGTTTTGAAACCCCACACAGGTCGCAGGTCAGTTTCAATCATCAACAGTGGACAGAGAAGAAATCACATGACTTGAGAAGCCACTAAAACAGAATTAGGGAGTGTGTCTTTAAATATTAAGTCCCATTCATTTTATGTGAAGAGGTTTCAACTAAACATGTGGCGTACTGAATTCGGTTCATCTCTTCCTCACCTGATCCTTCCACAGCAAAACCCATCACAACAGAGTACAGCCAGAAGTCCCTGAACAGTTTCTGGAGGCGGGGCTTGGCCTCTTTGATTGGCGGAAGTCGCCTGGTCAACTGTGAGTTTGAAAAATGGACAAGGGTGAAAAATGTGGGCAATTAATATTGCATTATACAAATGATCACATTTTGTTAAATGTAAATTCCAACACAAACAGCTAAAATCTCTCGGGACATTCTGCACGATAATAAAACAAACACATGCCAATGATATAAACGCACAACTGCAACCCTGTAATAGTTAATTAATATGAAATTTTCCTGAATTGTGAAGAGTTAAAGATTTAAGTCAGTCACAGCACTTTCTGGTCTGTTTGATCTGGTCTATTTGTTCAGGAGGAGCCCACATCAAAGTTCAGTTTTGTATTCAATTCTTTGCTCACAGAAGCAAACAGAAGCAACACAACACTTCCTATCAGCACACACTAACGGTAAGACATTTTCAGACTATCGCTGTTTTTAAGGCAACTTCATTTTTCCTTTTTTAGCTTTAATCAAATATGCTAAATGTTGATCGTATCCTTAACTAAGCCATAATAAAAGTCTACATGTCCTCTGCCTCAGGCCTCAGAATGCTGTTCATCACCGTCATCTCTGTGGCCTGCCTGCTGGTTAGTCCATGCCTGGCTGGCATAAAAGAACTCAGCCCTCACTTCGCCGACCCTAAACCAGACCCCCAAGGCTTTGAACCAGAGGTGGATGTTCAGGCCCTTCCCTTAGAGTTCCACAAAGAAAACACCGTCACTAACGACCTAGTTTTTGAAGGCTTTGAGGATGAAGATTACATTGATTTTGATAAGATCCTGGCTGCAGGCAGCGACGACTACACGTATGTTCTAAAGTTTTTTTACATCTCATAGATTTAATGAAAAATGTACTTTGGATATAAAATGATGAAGTAAAAATATTTTCATATGGAAGGTCTAACTTAATATTTATACACTTGAATTGGTGGCATTTTTCTCATCAGTGTTGAGGATATAGTGCATATGAGTGTTTCTCCATCTATATATAGAACACATGTACACATAAAAATCAACTGTTATTTATAATGCAGCTACAAATTTAAAGTGATTCTGCTTTGAAATTGCTTTATGATGAATTTATGATGTTTTTCAGTGAAGGGGATGAGATAGATGAAATTGCCACACCAGCGCCAGACATTGACATCTTTGCTGAGCCCTCTGACCCAAAGATCCGTCGTGCCAGACTCATACGGTTGTTCCAGGGTCAGTCTCGCCTTCAACGCCTCAACATCGTCAACGCTCAATTCGGTTTTAATCTCTATCGTAGTCTTCGTAACCATGTCAACCAGAGCGACAACATCCTGCTAGCTCCTGCTGGGATCTCCATCGCTATGGGGATGATGTCTTTAGGAGCAGGACCTAGAACCCATGATCAGATCTTTAAAGCTCTGGGATTCGCAGAATTTCTCAATGTTAGCTATCACTATGACAACACAACAGTGCACAAGCTCTTCAGGAAGCAGACACACAGGCTCTTCAGGAGGAACTTTGGTTACACGTTGCGATCAGTAAACGATGTCTACGTAAAGAAGGACATCTCGGTGAAAGAAGCTTTCCGTGCAGAGACAAAAGCTTATTATTTCGCAGAGCCGCAGTCAGCGGACTTCAGGGATCCTGCCTTTTTGGACAAGGCCAACAGTCGCATCCAAAAGCTGACCAAAGGGCTGATCAGGGAGCCACTCAAGAGCGTGGACCCAAATATGGTGCTAATGCTGCTCAACTACCTGTACTTCAAAGGTCAGTGAAAATAAAGACACAATACTTTTCACTTATTGTGTATAATTTCAATACTGTGGAACTTTGAGGAAAATAAAATTATAGCACTCCTGTCTGCTCTGTTTGGTTACTTGAGCCGCACACTTTGACCCTATTTATTTATATGAACAGGTACATGGGAACAGAAATTCCCCAAAGAAATGACTCACTATCGCAACTTCAGAGTAAACGAAAAAACAAATGTGCGTGTGCCAATGATGACCAACAAGGGAAACTATCTGGCTGCTGCCGACCACGAGCTAGACTGTGACATCCTACATGTGGGTGGCCTCACAGTCATTTAAAAATTTAACTTGGTGTCTGAAGAGCGCCAAGCTTTTCCAACAAGAATTTCCTGACAAACATGCATATTGTCCTATGAACAAGTCAACTGAGCTGTGTAGTAATGATCTAAACTTTCTTATTTTTAGCTCCCATACACGGGAAACATCAGCATGCTCATTGCCTTGCCTAGAAAGATCGCTGGCATGAGGACCTTGGAGCAGGAGATCTCCCCCACCATTGTCAAAAAGTGGCTTACAAACATGACAAACAGGTTAGCAGCACTCTCCCAACACATGAATGAATGGGTAGCTGACAGAGCACACACACACATGAACGCTGTCCTTTATAGTTAATGGCTTGATGCTGAAAATATTTACCGACCTAGTAAAGATGTAAAAGCTATACCATGTAGAAACTTTGTTATGCCTTGCTGTCAGGACTCGTGAGGTTGTGGTCCCTCGGTTTAAACTGGAGCAGAACTATGACATGATTGAAAATTTGAAGGAGATGGGCCTCACTGACTTGTTCCAGGAGAGCGGAGATTTCACTGGAATGACCTCTGAAAAGGTTGCCATGAACTGGGTGAGGGGGACTAAACCATTTTGTTATTTTACCAAAAAATAACCAAACAAATGGCACCTTTTCAACTGCAATCAATAATTCGAAACGATTTATGCCTTCTGATCTCCCTCTGCAGTTGAAGCACCAAGGAACTATCACTGTGAATGAAGAGGGGACAGAAGCCGCTGCTCTGACCCAGGTGGGCTTCATGCCCCTCTCGTCTCAAATCCATTTCACCGTGGATCACCCTTTCCTCTTCCTGATCTACGAGCACCGCACAGGCTGCCTTGTGTTCATGGGCCGAGTGGTCAATCCCTCAAAGAGCTAAATTTGAACAAGATGTCCTGCTAAAGAGCTCAACTCTTTATTTACTCTTTAAGCCTTTATTTAGTGAAAACTTTCAACTAAGTTTGAATTAAACTCAAACATTACGGCTTTAATAGCTGAGGTGTTGTGTTTAATAGTCAGTTACTTCTATTAGTACAATATGTCAATGTAACATCAGGTAATGAGTCGTTATGTGTATATAGCCTCTTACAGAATGCTTGATATCTGTCTGTTACTATTTTATCTTTTGCCATAAGGCTAGTGGGGAAGTGTTTTCAAAAAAGGACATTACGTATCTGTCATTACCCTCATGTTGTACTCCAATAATTGCAGAAAGACCATGGACGCAATAGATAAGATTTTCTATGAATAAAACTTGTTACATTACATTATTATTACTTAAAACTTTATTATCTCAACTGGTTGAATAAAATACTACAAACTGGTACTAAGATTTTGTAAATGCTTTTCAGTAAATGCTGTATATATTGTATTATTCTATTACTTAGCTGGCTCAAAATTGATCTTTTAAGAAAAAAGTAAATATGCAAAAACAAAAATATCTGTAGTGAACTACTGAAGCAGATGTTTGTACTGCAGCTAGCAGGGCAAATATTTGTTCAGAGTTAAAAACTAACTAACAGATTGGATTTATCTGTAAGAACTCAAATACTCACGTAGATCATTTAACTGTGCTGTTTGGACATTTAGAAAATTAAAAGGAATCGACTCTAAAGGGGCAATACACAGCACAGACATATAATGCTCACCACAGCAATCACAGGAATAAGGACTCCAAGATTTCCAGCACTACTTGATGCCTACAGGAGACAAACCACAAATATGAATGTATCAAGATGGCGGTCATCAGTTTGCTGCTCTGGTTGTTTGTGCATGTAAGCACGTACCTTCAGTGCTGGCCCCTTGTCTGAGGCCCGCTCACTGGCTCTCTTTCCTTCCAGGCCCAGTTGGACAAACAGCTCTAAAAGGTTCATCATCAGTTCATCCACCAGCTGTTCCCCCTGCAGGTTGGCTGCAATGTTGGCCAGAGCATTTATCACTGCCAAAGAGCAGTGTCTTTGGTGGAAAGAGCATAGATGGAGGAAACCGTTAAACACAGTTATATTACATGTTCACATAAATGTACACAATTCCAGCCAAGGCAGTACTTTTTTTTTTTTTTTTGCTTGTATTAATCACATATTCCAGATCTGGTGCAACTGAAAATTCTGTGAACAGAGGAAAAGCAGATGCTGACCTGTAGCCATGATCTCTGTAGTCTTTGGTAGCCGAGTAGACTACTGAACTGGCCTTCACACTGATCTGCTGGAACAGATTCCACACCTCCTGATAGATGTATTGCTGTAAGACAGACGGGGAGTAAGACTGTGCAGGCACCAATAGGTTTAACTCAAGATAAAATGAAAAATGCTTTTCTGTTTACTAATTGTCTACTTACTTACATTTACAATTTTCCAAAAACTAAAAATCCCATTATTAGTGATACCATGAGTAAACATGCAAGATCTGTCTGAGGACTGAGCGAAGGATTTTGTAAGTGATCTGTATCTGCTAAATAAGGTCAGATCCATTTGTAGTCCTTTGTTAATTACAGTCTATCACACTCTGGGTTCACTGGCTGTCAGGAACACCCCATTACACTCCAGTGGTGTGTCAGCTGGAATACTGGAGCCTATTCTTAATGCACAGTGTACAGAAAGTGGCAGTCAGTATGTTTACAGTAATTAGAGAGTGTCAGGCCCTGTGGGATAAGAAAATGGTTACTTTTCTTCTATTTAAGCAACAGTAATAACTCACCAATCATTTTTTTGCCATAAATAAATCTACACTCTTTTTACTCTATCAATACTTTATTATTTTGATTGATCCAGCTGGTGTTTATATAATAAACCTTTACAACCATATATACAAATATATCAAATTATGGAGGCATGACTAAATATGATTCATCATTGACTTTGTACTGACATTTCCTGTAATGACCATACATCCCAGCTGGTCAATGATGAGTACATCCAGCTGTGATGGAGGCTGGCAGAACTTCTGTTGAAGGATTTGTAGGATGTGCTCCATGACTTTAGGAGTGTCTCTCAGAGCCACTGCAATGTGGCCCAGTGCTCGAATGGTGTGATCTGGGATCAGATGGGCATCCCTGGCAGAAAGACAAGGTTTATTTGTAGAGTAGCTGCTCATTAGGACCAAGGACTTTAAAATATCCTGAGCTACAAGGCACAACTAGAAATGTCACTTACTTGTCATTCTCCTGTGAAATGTAAAGACGGTTGGACAGACTAGCCAGAAAGGCCTCAACTATCACATGGTCCATAGTCTGACCAGCTTTCAGGCCTCTGAGACAGAAAAAAACATACACAAAGATGTTTTTTAAAAAATCCATAAAAAATCTTATTTTCCAATCACAGTTGTGCCAGGTGTTTGCGTCTGACCTGCAGATGTTGTCAATGGAAATGTCTCTGAGCTGCTCATACATGGATGCCTGGTCTTTCCTGTTTGACATGACATTGAAGGTGGGCTGAGAATGCTCATTGGTCACATTTATCCTGATTTCTCCTGTGCCTTAATAAAGAATGATAACAGCACAAAGGTAGAGCATCATCAGCAGAATTCAAAACAAGCAGCTTTGAATTAAAGTATTTAATTTAGTCTTATTTAAATTCTATTAGAATTTAAAACATTAAAAATATGATCCTGAACAAAAAACAAAGACTGAAAGTAGTGACTAAAGTATGTTTTATAATTTGACAGATTGGTAGCTGATCTATGAAGAGGCAGTGTGGGCAGAAAAATCAGTAGCCTGAAGTGTATTTCCAATTGTCTGTATGTGTACCTGTTCAACAGTGAACACTTAGATTCAGATCAGTGATGCATGAGAGCCCAACGTAATAATGATGCTGTTATTGATGCATATTTGTCCCTGTATCAGCAGCCACCACGCTCATAGGACAACAAATGTCCCTGCTGGATGTACTGTTAAAACACTGATATTTTTAGGAAAATGTTACACACAGTAGTTGTAAGTTTACCTCAAATGGTATGTGGTGCTGCCATAAATCAGGCTCCAAAACTGTGAACACTGTTTCTGTGCAGACTTAAAGCAATTTAATCTTCAAATTAACCACAAACTACCTTTATTTGCAAAATACCCAGAAGAGCAATACCCTTACTATGAGCCATGGCATATTTTACAACAATATCATACATGCGTACAAATATGGGAGGGTTGAGCTTATCTGTACCTGCGCTGTACTGGCTGTGATACTTGTAGAGTTTTATGAGAACAGGGGAAGGAACCACGAGGAAATCCCTGAGAGAGGTTGTGGCAGAGTGAGCAACTACTGGAAACCTCTCACACAGATGGCCTAGGCCCTGCGACAGAGAGGAAGACAATCAGAGAAAATTTTATAATATATAATAATACCCAATAAATAATTTTTTTTAAAATGACTTGCAACACACAGGACCTCATCAGCTTCAAATCCAGACATGCAATTTCAACCTAAGATCTAATACCTTCTATCTGAGCTAGTATCTCGGTGCTCTGTCTGCTTTGTAGTATTATACCTGTAGGCAACAGATGAGCAGGGGCATGTGAGCAATGATGACTTTACTAGAGGTTTTTGACTGCAGCTTCTCTGACAATTTCATGCACAAATTCTCAGCTCCTGAAAAAAAAAGACATCAACAAGGAAAGGTAATATAACCAGTACACATAAACACATCCAGTGCCCCTTTGATGATGACATCTGCTCTGCTGACGCTCTGCTCTAATCACCTTGTTCATCTTTGACAGCCCACACCATGAGGTCCACGCAGGCAGCGTTGGCTTGGCAACGAAGCTTGAGGGGGCTTTGTTCCCCTGGCAACGCCCCCGTGTCATGAAGTACCCGCTGCAGCTCTGACTGACTGCTACTAAACTGTTCCAGTACAAAGTCGTGCACCTCGCGTACAAATGCTGGCTGCAAGGCTGAGAGACATAAGGGAGAGTAAGAGAGTATGAACATTTAACAGTCTATTTAATGAACTACAAACAACAGTAGGATTGTGTGGCTTATTGTAAATTATAGAAGCCACTTATGATGCTTTACCTTTCATGTAGTACAGTGTGTCCCGCAGCATTTTGAACACACACACATAGAGAGGGTCACTGAAGGTTTTGTAATGGAGGTTGATTCCAGGATTAGACTTCACAACAAACAGAACATACAATAACAAAGAACATTATTTAACTGGTAATAGCACAAATTTAACCTAACCATTGAACTCTTCAATTTTTTTGCAGACAGTGGTTATGCAGCATACAGTAGTTACCTCTATAACTTCTGTCAGAGTGGCGTCCAAAGTTTTCAAAAAAGGGTCGGAAACAAACTTCTTCACCTGTAAATCAACAGCTGTTGAAGATGCAATACACTTATGTAAGATGGGAGACAAGAGAAGCAATATCTTGGTAAAACTGGTACCATGTCAAGGAGTTGTCGGAGCAGATCAACTGGCACTTCCACCTCATATTCCCCTTCACCCATGAATAAAGGAGACACAGAGAAACTGGAGCTGACTGTGGAGAAATAGTAGCCAGGGTCTACTGCAGAACTGTCTGGAAGATAGGCACCTGAAATGAAAGGGATCAGAGGACATAGAAAAACATGACAAGTTGCACACCAGAACAATACATATATTAGTTTATGTTAATGGTAATGTTTAAAAAAATCTGTGCCACACCTGAGCATCTCAATAAGGATGAGTGCCCATCCAAACTGTACAGAGAAATGACTTCAAGGGAATGGGATAAGCACTGGATGAATAGTATGCGTTACCAAGCGACAAAAGTTTCACCCAAATTAAAATGCCTTTACTGTATGTTTACAGTAAGTAAGACATGTCTGCAGATTACCTAAATGTATATCATTCATTCAGGATACATACAAGTGTGGCTAAAATATATGTAAGTACCTAGGTGATACATAATGCTGATCACTGGCATTGATGAACTAGGCTGAGCTGACAGAATCCATGTTTACTTTGTCAAACACAACTTAAAGTAGCTTGAGTATTACCTTCAAAATAATGTGGACCAGGGGTCGTAGGAGAGCAGGGTGAGCGGCCTCCTGGGTCTGCACTGACCT